AAAAATATCATCTGCTATAATATATTAAAATTTCATCAAATTTGAATTAATAGATATTAAAATATTTAAAAAAAACAGACACTTACCAAATTTTTCAAAACTCTAAAATAAAATTAAATAACTTGTTAATTATACAAGTATATAATTTAAAAATAATATTACATAATCACAGAGAGTTATAGATTTAGATAAATAAATAAAAGCCAAAATTAATTAGTAAGTTTTTGAGTTATAAGCCAAGTCCTTAAGTGGGAAATTATTTTTGTCACTTCTCTGTATCTTAAAAGATAAACTTATAAAAAGTATCCAGGAACTGATTCATTTTTTTGTGAAATATTTGAACAACAGCCCTTAAAAGGTGTGCTATTTAGAACAATTAATACAGCAACAGATGAAGAAATCAATCAGTTTTGAGAAAATATTCAACTAATCAATGCAACTCTAATATATAATAATTATAAAATAAAAGATTTAAAGCAACAGATAAGTATTGTATATATTAATAACATATTTAAATAAAAGTAAAATTAATGATATCTACTTTCAAAAGCCATGTATAAAAGAATTTTTCAATTATTATTGCACAGCAAGACATTACTTTTTACAATCAAAAAATATAGTAAAAATACTTGCTTAATTTGCTGACCACCTTGGTGCCTACATGAAGTTTTTATTCAACTTTACAAACTCTCTAATTTAGTTCTAGAAGAAGATAAATATTAGAAACTCTTTGAAAAGCTTTAAATTCTAATTAAAAAGCTATATTATTCTGTATCAATTTATTCTGATGTGTGTTACCCATATAGTAGCCTTAATATTCATCTATCTACTTTAAAGGGTTCATAACCAATATATAAAAGCTGTTTCAATTCAAATGGCTTGGCTAAATGCCAAGAACAAAATTAGTTAAAAAAGATAAAAAGACTAAAAAATAAGAAGTTTAAAGTGTATTAATTTGGTAAAAATATATACAGTATAATTTTTTTTGTAAGAAGCAAGATATATAGTATTCAAATCATTTGTTACTATTGCTATATAATCATTTGTAGTTAGATAATATAAAATAAAGGTAGTATATATATACTATTACAAGTTGCAATAATAATTATTTGTGTTATTTAGAGTATATCTCTTAAGAGATCAATAACTAATAGGAAAAACCTGTTAATAGATATATATTACTATATCTGGTACTAGACATTGAACTTTCTAAGAATCTGATTGGTTGATTTTATACTGTGCCTTATAAAATTTTAATTTTCTTATTTCAGATAAATAACCTGGCCAGGTTATAAAAAACAAAAAATTTTCTTTATATGGCCTAAAATTACTATAATATATTATATAGTAAATATTTTTAAAAAAGTTATAATTAATAAATTTTTTTATTTTAATAGGTGATTCTCCAGTTACCTGGTTTAAAATTTTTTTTTATATATAAATTTTACAATAAGTGCAAATGCATAGTGCCTCTATTTAAAACTTTTTTTTATACTAAATAAATCACTTTTCAGCTTCTAACAAAAGTTGAAGAGCTTATTAATATTGCAAAAGTATTAAAATTAGTTGGTAGTTCTTTAAAAACTTCCTTTTTACATATAAAATTTCTTTAAAAAAAATTAATTTTTTTAAAAAAATTTTATATGTAAAAATGAAGTTTTTTTAAAAAAATTTCTTAAGAACTACTAGGCCAATTTTAAAATCCTTGCAGTATTAAATACAGTTAACTTTCTTTTAACCAAACCTCTCTAAACCAAACTCTCTCTTATCTGAACCAAAAACTCTAGACATTTATAAAATTTATTATAAAGTTTGAATAAGCTTATAATATCTCTTTATAAACTAAATTAAAAATGCAAGAATGGGCTGTTTGGATAAGAAAGAGTTGACTGTATTTTTTTGATGAGCTCTATAACTTTTGTTAGAAGCTGAAAAGTAATTTACTTAGTATAAATAATGTTTTAAATAGAGATACTGTGTATTTGTACTTATAGTAAAATTTATATATAAAAAATATTTTTGAACCAGGTAACTGGAAAATTGTCTATTAATAATATAATTTTTTTTATAAATTCAATTAATATATAATTATAATGAATTAAAAAAAATCAAAACCTAAATTATAAAAAAAAAATTTAATTATAGCTATTTGATATATATCTTTTTGCACCAAACTATATCCTCTTAAAAGAGGCATGATTTGGCTAAGTAAGTATTTCTTAGACAAAAATGAGTTCTTTTTTAGGTTGTTCAAAGTTAATCATCACCTTTAGAACTCTTGTAAGAGTGGAGAAAGAGGGTAAAATAAAATGAACATATAAAAAAGGCCAATTTCATTAGTTAATATAAATTAAGTAACTGGTGAGAGTTATTCAGCATTTTGATTGGTTATTAATTTTGGAAGAAGACTTTAGCAAGGAGAATACAAACAACCTTATGTAAAAATAAATACTGTATTTATATATTATTCATTTATAGTAGCATTCTACATAGACTGGATCTAGTAGATATTGTTAAGAACTATATCTGAATTATTATATGATATCAATTTTTATAAAGATTTGGAACTGTATTATATAGATCTGGAACTGAACTAATATCAAATATAGAACTTAGAATTTTCAATTATATTTGTATTAGATGAGTTTATTTCTGATTGTTTTACTAACTATTCACTATTAGAGTTCTGTGCTATTGAGTAATAAGAAAAATTAGTAAATCTATATCAAACTATAGTTGTTAGACAAAACTTCAAGGTTTTGTATTGACAAAATATGAAACCTAATTTTGTCTTTCTTCAATTATTATCTTAAATGACAAAACTGACAAAAGGTAATAAAACTGACAAAACTATAAAGGGTGACAAAACTAATAAAAGATGAACATATAAATAAATATTGTTAAAAACAATTAAAGATTGTATATAAAAAAATAAACTAACAAGAACAGAAATTTATAAAAATTACAAAAAATTTTATTGTATTAAATTGTTTAAAAAGAGTATTAGTAAGAAATCACTTGGTGCTTACTTTGTAAAGGAAGTGTCATTTATCACCTGATTTTTTTAAATAGTAAATATTACCTCCTACATGATAAATGAATTGAAATTCCGAAAGTATGTGTACATACATACATGATATTTTGGTAGGGACCACCCTCCAAAAAAAATCAGATGATAAATAACACTTCCCTAATCTTATAAATTTATTTTGTACCAGTATGTTTTAATTCATTATTTGTGTTATTCCATGAGTATTATGCCCTTTTAATAAGATTATTTAATCAATTATTTAATTTCAGATACTGATCTCTAAATAAATTATGAATATTAATTTAATGAAATAATATTTGTTTTTTTTCTAGTTTTTTTATTTTTTAGTAAGAGCATTAAGTTTTATCATTTTGAGCACATGGTTTTATTATTTTAAGTTTAAGGTTCATCTTTTATCAGAAGAATTTGGGGGTTTAACTTTTATTAGATATTTTGTCTTTTGTAGGTTTAAGTTTTATCTTTTGTTATTATATAAAAAAAGGTTTCATCTAACAACTATATATTGTACGCACTTCTTAATAAATTAGATAGATTATTTTAGCTAAAAATATAATCAAAGTTCAAAGTTTTATTATAATTAATATATTTAGTAGAATTTTATAAAATTTAATATTGATTGCATAATAAAGATTTTCTTACACTACCTGCTATAAAAGCAGAATTATGTTTATTTTTTTTTATTTTTGCTTATATAAAAAAAAAAGAATTATTATAAAATGACTTATAGTGTTTTAGCACCTATATATAATTGCTTCTAATAAAATTTAGAGTTAGAGTTAGAAAATTAAGAATTATTTTTTTTATATAATATAATATAAAGCTAATATAAGGGCCTAATAGAGCCCGATTTTAGTTTTTATGAGGTTTTTGGGAGTCCTAAACATTTTTACTTAGAAGACCCAATTCTGTTTATTTAGTATGTTTTTGAAAAATGAAACCTATGATATAAAACACCATAGGTGCGTTTTAGTAAAAGTCAAAAAATAAAGCAAGCAACTATTTTACTAATTAGTTTATCCTAACTAATATCCACCAAGAATTTTATAAACTTTAACTCTCATAACTGCAAATTATTTTTTTTGCTTATCAAAAGAAAAAAATATATTTAAATTCTTACTACCATGACCTTAAACACATTTAGTTTTGTTTGACAACCTATTTTGTTTATCTGTAATCATATCACTACTGATACTAAAAATTTCTTCACTTGGCACACTTGTTGTAGTACAGAAAAACAATATCAGACAAACTTTGCAAAATTTAGAATGTTTGCGTCATTTTTATGCCACTATTCCAAAATATCATTTTCTAAATCTATAAAAGAAATTACCAAATAAGTATAAAAATTCACTAGGATGCTTAGTATAAGCTTATTTATAAATTCACTTTGTAATAGTTACTGGAGATAATTCAAGCATTTTGGTTAGAAGTAGATGTATAGCTATTTTTATATTTGATTTTAATGCCAAAATATTATATTAGTAAAAATTAATATTTATAAAACTAAAATAAATATACTTTTTATTATAGTAAGAGTAGTTATATATAATATATGTTGATGATTTTTTCTTTCTAATGGGGTCTACTTGATGTAGAAATAATTTTCAAATTTAAGAATCATGTTTAAAATATTGATTATAAAAAAAGAATACATTATATGGTATTTATTAAACTCCACATAAGAAGACAAAAAAATATTCATAATATTTTTAATATAGAAATTCGAAAAAGATTTGCATTTATTTTTTTATTCAATTTCAAGCATGGTTAAAATGAGATTAGCTATTTAAATATATATACACACGAGAAAAAGGTGAAAAAAATTAATAATTTGCTTGATGGTATAATAAATTTAGGAATTGATAGAATGACTCATAATTATAGAACATTACTATGTATTAGAGTAACAAACAACGTTAAATCTATTTACAGTAAATAATTTATACTCCTAATTCTTCTCTTCAGAACCAAAAAATTGATTGAATGTTAGAGCTCTAGAAAATAGTTTTTAATTAAATATATTACAATATTTTTAAAATATTTCTAACTAGTTTGCTTCTTTTCCTATCAGCAATAAGTTTTTCATGAATTTTTAGTGAAAATTCATTTTTTGGATCTAGCTCTAATGATCTTTTCAAATCCTTAAGAGCTTCATCATCTTTTTTCATCGCACGATAGATCGCACCTCGACTTCCTAATGTAGAAGCCATATTTGGTTTGATTTCTAATGCCCTATTTAAATCAGCTAGTCCTTTATTATATTTGCCCAACATACGATAAGATTCACCTCGAGTGCTTAATGTCCATGCATTATTTGGATCAATTGATAAAGAACTGGTTAAATCTTTAATCGCATCTTTATATTTATATAAAATATGATAAATTGTTCCTCGACGACTTAGTGCCCATGCATCATTAGGTTCAATTTCTAATAATTTAGTTAAATCAACAAGTGCCTCATCGTATTTTTTCATATTAAAATAAATTTCACTCTTATCTTTTAATGCGAACGTATCCAATTTATCCAATTTTAAAGAATTAGTTAAATCAATAAGAGCTTCATCATATTTTTTCATTTTGAGATAGATTGCACCTCTAAGACTTAAAGTTGAAGCGTTATTTTGATCAATTTCTAATGATTTAGTTAAATCAGCAAGAGCTTCATTATATCTTTTCATCATAAAAAAAGATTCAGCTCGACGACATAAAGTCCATACATCATTTGGATCAATTTCTAATGATTTAGATAAATCAACAAGAGCCTCTTTATATCTTTTTAATTCATGATTAATTTTACCACGACTTCTTAATGTAAAAGCATTATTAGGATCAATTTCTAAAGATTTAGATAAATCAGTCAAAGCATCATCATAACGTTCCATCATACGAAAAGTTTCACCTCTATGATTTAATGTAGTTACTTCATTTGGATCAATTTCTAAAGATTTATTTAAATCATCAAGAGCTTCATTATCTTTTTCCATCATATAATAAATAGATGCTCTACGATTAAATGTCCAAGCATTATTAGATTCTAATTCTAAAGATTTAGATAAATCAAGAAGAGCATCATTGTATCTATTCAACATACGATAAGCTTCAGCTCTATTTATTAAAGCAGAAATATTATTAGGATTAATTTTTAATAATGTAGTAAAATCATCAATAGCATTTCTATATTGAAATATAGAAAGATAAGCTACACCACGATCGTATAAAGCAACCACATCATTTGGAACAATTTCTAAAGTTTTATTTAAATCAGCTAGAGCTTCATTAAATTTTCCCATATTCATATAAGTTAAACTACGATTTTTTAAAGTAAAAGTATCATCAGGTTCAATTTCTAAAGTATTTAAATCAGCAAGAGAATCATCATATCTTTTCATCATACAATAAATATCACTTCTATTTTTTAAAGCAATAGGATCATCAGGATCAATTTCTAAAGATTTAGTTAAATCATCAAGAGCATCATCATATCTTTTCATTAAATGATAAATTGAACCTCTACATCTTAAAGCAAAAGCATTATTTGAATCAAATTCAATTGATTTAGTTAAATCTTTAATAGCTTCATCATATTTTCCAATTTTAGTAAAAACTTCACCACGACGACTTAATGCCCAAGAATTATTTGGTTTAATTTCTAATGATTTAGTGAAATCGGCAAGAGCTTCTTTATATTTTTTCATCATACGATAAGTTTCACCACGATTCATAAAAGCAAGAGCATAATTAGGTTTAATTTTTATTGCATTTGTAAAATCCTTAAGAGCTCTATTAAATCCATTAACCATTAAAAAAGCCACACCTCGATCATAAATTGCGACAGGATTATTTGGTTCAGTTAATATAATTTTATTTAAATTAAAAATTGCTTCACTATATCTTTTCAATTTTAAACAATCTTTTGCACATTTTTTCAACATTGATAAATCAATATCTTTTTCGTTGGGTGTAGTTGGTGTTGTAGGAGTAGAAATAGGAAAATTACTTGAAGAAGGTGAAATATTATCTCCAGATGGCATAAATCTCATCATAATTTTTTCCCATAAAGTTGGTTCAAGTAATTTTTGATAAGGACTAACTTTTTCAAAAACATCTTCACCAGAAATATGAGAATAACGAATTAGAGGAATACAATTCTTTAAAGTAGATTTCATAGTTAGAAAATCATCATCTGTCCATTGTTTAGGATCAAGAGGTAAAAAAGGGTTTCGAGCAATTCCCCATCTAATTACAGATTCCCAAATAGCTCCTTGATCCATTTCTAAATTATCAAGTTTTAAAATAAAAATCAAAATATTTTCAGGAAATGTATTAAATTCATCATGATCAAAAATAATATCAGGATGTTGGGTGATAATATTTGCACAAAATAGTTGTAAAGGTTTAAAATTATCATCGCAGAAAATAGATTGGCATATACGATAAAAATTATTCTGTATCCAAAGTGCATTATTTTCTATTAAAAGTGATTGAACATGATCAACTAATTCTTCAAGATCAAATGTATTGGAAGCAATTAATAGATCAAGCAAAACAGAAGCATTAACTTTTTCTAATGAAATGGCACCCGTGTAAATATACCTAAATATGATTTTTAATAATAATAATAATAATAAATTAAAAATTTAATTAAATTTAAGTATTGCTTACTTGATGATAAGATCAAACACCTTAATAGATATATCAACTTTAATTTTTTTTATGTTACCATTATCATAAATCACTGGATTTAGTTTATCTTTAAAATATGGACACCGAGAACTTAGAATAATAGAATGAGCCTTAAACACTTGATCATTTGGTGCTTTACCAACTTCGATTAAAACGTTATATTCACTTCCATTGTTAAGAAGGTCATTTAAGTTACTAGAAAGTTTTTTATAAAATTTCGTAGTCATTTTTTTTATTAAGTTTGTCGTTTAGGCTGTACTTAGATCCAGGAAATTAATCAAGAATTAAATTTAAATACGTATAAATTATCACATGTATACTTTATCTGCATGAATCTGATTGTGATATTACCTGAGTTATGATCATTGTTACGGAGTTTCTTATTTTGTACTTGATAGGTTTTTATTTCCATTTTTTTTATTTTTTTGTAATAAATATTTTGTTGAGTAAATATTTGTGATAACACACATGCGGTACACAAAAAATAGGTTAGTGTAGGAGACGGCGTAAGTTGTGTCCTCTGGATATCACGCCATGCCAAGAGCCAAGAACCAGGAATCGAACAGACTCAAATTGTGTTCTATAAGAAAATTTAACGTTCAAGCACAAAATAACTTTGTTATATAAATGAAAATTCTAATATATTCTCGAGTTTTTTTTTTTTAAATAAACGTGTCATAGCCGTGTAAAAAATTTGTAAACTGGATTCATTCCACCTAACATATTTTTAGGGCACATTACTTCCTTAACAGTATCATTCAGAACCTATCATTTCCCGACAATACCTTCAAAAGCAATATTTGTTTGATATTGTTGAAAATCTAGTATAAAAAAGCTTCATCTCTAATAAAATCGCATCAATCACAACTTCATATCGAATAATATTAATGTAACATAATGCAGACCGACAATCTAAAATTTTGCGGCAAAGAATGTACAACGAAATGGTCAGATGCAGTTAACTGATATTATTAATCTCAAAGATTTGCTTTGTAAATTTATTACGTGATTGAAATGAATAATGAATAGACTGAAAGAATATAAAGCTAAAAAAATACATAAACTCAGGCGCGTACTACACCGGGCCAGTTTGACTACTAATCTATTATATATTCTTGATTTTATACACTCTATAACCTTAATTACATAATGATCAAAGCAACAACCTAATTCGGTCTAAAAATTCGGAAGATAAATTTACCCGATCCTAGAGAATTTTAGGTTTGTAGTTGATATTTCTGTAACTATAATAACTTTCTAGAACTACTCTGCAGAAATAATGCGGATTTTTTTTCCGTCACTGTTTGTTAATATGTCTGGTAACAAAGTTCAGATACCAATTCGGTGTCTTTTAATAATCATGTGATAATATCTGGCGTCCGTGGTCGATTTAAATGATTTTTTAAATGATTTTTTAAATGATTTTTTAAATGATTTATTTAATTTGGAATTTCATTACTTAATATAGAAAAAACAAAACTGTTCCGAATGATCGTCACAATAATTGTTTGCGTAACTTGGATAGGATGTTTAAATCCGAAAGTAGTTAGAAGACTGTATTTAATAAATGATATTACGTATAAAACGTACGTACGTACGTACTGTACATGCATACATACATAGTATATGTGTGCTACTATCAGCTATGGAAATCATTCTTTAAAAAATAAGAAATCTAAGTTCTATATCCAAAAATCAGAACCTGAAAAAAACCATCAAATAAATACTGAAGAAATAAATTAAAGATTTCTATAGGTTACTAAACGTTATAAGTAAATTTATAAATTATTCGGATTTGAATGGATCATTATCACGTGTTAACAAATGATGCTGAAATCGAATGCTGTAATCGTATGATATTTCAAATGAAGACCCATTTATATGATATTAGCGTACAGTACGTATCAGTATCATCACTACACTATAGCAGATAAATCAATTTTATATTTATACAATAGACTACAATATTTGCAACATTCTAATTCTTTTTTTATTTATTATATATATATATAGTAGCAAACCAGATACCAATCATCTTAATCAAATATCACGTTTTTGACCATGTCATACTTGCGCTATTGTGTCGGTAATACAAATTTAATGATCGTCAATATTGCATTTTTACGCGAAATAATCATGTGGCTTCTGAAGTAAGTGCAGAAATGATGATTTTAATAGACGCTAGATCTATGCACTACTAAAATAATATTGGCTGAAAACCCTTGAATGGATGATTCAGATTGCTTATAGCAATATATCCTTAAATTCACATATGATCAACCCAAAAAAGTGCATTTGTAAAAAATTCTCAAGAGAATTTGCCTGTAAGACGGCGTAAGGGATAAAAAAAGTGCATTTATAGAAAATTCTCAAGAGAATTTGCCTGTAAGACAGTGTAAGCGATAAAAAAAATCAAAGTGACACATGTTATCAAATGGCCAGAACATGAGCACACATTATAACAATTTTTGGGGTTAAATTCTTGACGGTGAAACTTTAATTTTCATTTACAAAGTTTTCATTTATAAATTATTAGATTATAGATGAATTAATTAACTCAGTGAAACAAATAAAAATTAAGATATTGATAGCGAATCAGAAACTATCCCTGTAAAAAAAATTCAATTGTATTTATTTTCCATATTATTTCCAGAAATGTATCATATTCCTGGGGTTTTTATTGAAAATTTATGGAAATTACAAGGACTTACTCGCAAAATTCGAAAAAATTCCAGAAAGGTCTCAAATTAATGGAGTTTTTATTTATAAAGTGGAACTATAACGGACTTTTTTTTATAGGGTATTAGAGTGTAAAATATCATAATTAATCAAAACTATGTAAGATCAACCAATAATAAATTTTTTAAAAGTTGTAGATCAGTCGGAGTGTTAATTCACAGCAAAGAACAAATTTACATATGAGTTGAAAAGAATTTCACATAAAATGATTTAATAATTTTCTTGCATTTTAATGTAAAAATTTTTTCTATAATTTTGTTCGTATTGCTACAATTATTATAATTAATAAATTTGAGCGAAAACTATCAAGCCAGTGAATCTAAACATCTAGTTTTATAGCAATCTAATTTTACATAATATATATATATTAACTTATAATATACTACGTGTATAGGATGATCTTGGACCAATTGAATTGCTGAATTTGTAGACTTGATGTTCGTGTAATATCAAATGAAAGCAATGGGTACTGATCAAAATCCTGACAAACAGAATCCCGACAAAAAATCCCGACAAAAAATCCCGACAAATCCCGACAACAAAAAATTATTAAGTTTATTTAAATTAGGTGGGTGCATAGGTTAGGGTTAGGGTTGGGTTTAGGTGATTTTATATAGTAAAGTTGTTCAACGAACACTTTTTTTGATTGTCGGAATTTGTCGGGATTTTGAATGTCGGGATTATGACCTGTCGGGATTTTGACCCAAACCCAAAGCAATAACGAATAGATAATGTCTGTGTTGTAGCAACAATATCATTAATGTCACAAACTATCGCAATTAATAATTGAATTTAAATATCATTTACCAGGATTAATTTGAAATATGAATACGAATATATCTTAAAAAATCATACATAAAATTATAGAATTATAAATTATAAAATTATTTATTTGTTATTCTTGTGCCTATAAATAAGAAAGTGCAGATTTCGAAAGTATAAATTTTTGTTATTCAGTTTGATTTTTCAATAAAATATTAAAATGACACGATACTAGTCTACAAATTTGGAAAATAAAAAGATTAAAAGTAGAAAATCTATATGTAAAATTGCTTCCACATTTTTATTAATGCCTCATGACAGATTTAAATCGCAGTTCTTTGTAATTCTTTTATTTATGCCGTACAAAAGCGAGATAACACCTACCTGCGAGTTATTTCGAGTACGCGCATGTACGTTGTTTCGGAATTTTATCCCTCATCGAGGGGTGTTATAAATGAAAAGCAACTTGTTATTGGTCATGTTGTTGATGATAACTGATTATTCACTAGGATGTTGAGATATAACGGTGGCCCTTGGCTACCGTTATGACGTAGCATCTGCTGTGAATAAATCAGCGATTGTCATTAACAACATGACCCAATAACTTATAATTATTCTGTCCCATCCGCCACGTACTATACGTACTAACAGTGCAAAATTCGCAAGTATCGATCTGCTGGCCTAAACCTGAAGGTATTATCTACCGCAAAGGTGTGACGAAAAGCCAGACAATTCAATCTGAAAAAAACCTAGTTCCCCTTTGATTTACACAAATACAAAAAGCAAAAAATCATGGTGACTATCGTCCCAACAGGCCACCTCTATGTACACAAATATAAGAAATTTTCTTCGGGACTGTCGACCCGACAGGTCACTTCCATATAAACTTACGTAAAAAAAAAAAATTTCTTCGTGACTGTCGTCACGACAGGCCACTTTCACTTCCGACCGAAATTATGACTGCCGTCTGGCAGGCCATAAACTATCCAAAAATCAGCTGAAAAGCAATACCGTAAAGTGCCATACGGTAGATCCCCCTATGAGATATACCCTGTGATGATTTGTGAGCTTAAATTTGATTTATATCCGGGTACAATCATGGTAAAGTTCAATGAGTAATACCCCTATGCTTTGGGGAATACCCGGGTACAATTTTCGTACAATATACTCTTCTACTTAAGTACCTGGGTACAGCTTAAGACATTATTTTCTGGAATTATACCTCTGATCAATACAATATACCCCCTACTTAGGTACCCCGGGTACATCTCAAGACATTGTAAATATCCGGATACAATAGTTGGCACTTTACGGTAACTGTCGAAATGACAGGTCGTTAAATAAAAACACTTAAGTCACTGCTAGATCGTGTATTAGGGTCGGGTAGAGCGGGCGAAAAAACCAGACAAAGTCGGGTTAATAGAAAAACAGATTACGGGTTAACTTCCTGAAATCAATTTTACTGAAATGCCATTTTACCGAAATCATAATACTGACATCCCATTTTACTAACAAGGTATAATTCCGAAAATCTCATTTTACCGAAATATCATTTAATTAATAATAAATTTTACTGATAAGTCATCTATCTGCAATTTTCATTTCACCGAACATTAAAAAGATGAATTCTATTTTACTGACATACCATTTATCCGAATGGTACAATTTTCTAACATACTATTTCTTTGATAATATATTACTGAAAGTTCTTTTAATGAACGATGTTTACCGAATTTACTAGAGGTCCGAACCGGATGCAAATTTATCACCCGGGTCACCCGTATAATTTTGAAATCGGGTACCCGGGTGAAAACGGGTTATATGATATAGTGTGATTTTCGTTTTAATACCACTAAAAAATGAAAAGAACTTTTCATAAAGAAGCTTACAATCTAATAAATGCACGTAAAA